AACATACCTCTAAAATGAATTATAGAAGAAATAACTTCTGAATGCAGGACCCAAGGTTAAGTGGTTTGTTTGGCATGTCAAGGGCAGCTCACAGATGGCCAGGCAGGGGGACGTGGGAGCCCTGATTCCCATGAGCTCATGTTGGCCTGTGTTGGTCAAGTACACACGTTTGGCATTCCTGTTTAGCCTGAAGCAGTCTTTCAAAATGTCAAGACACAAAGGAAATCCTTCCCAGAGGCCCTCCTGGGAAGCATGCGGTCTTCACTGGTCCTGATGTTCTAGGATGAAGACTCTCTTCCAGACAGGGCAGTGGGAAGCACTTGCCAGCACCGTGAGATTGGAAAAGTCACCTCCCTTCTCCGCACCTCACTTCACATCTCTCCAAAGGCAATGACGATGATTAGCCTGCCTCCTTTTCTAAGGTTGTTGTGAAGTCAGAAGAGGCAGTGAATGCGGAAGCTCTGAAATGCAGAAGCTGAGAGTGAAGATCATAAGCTTTGTGACAAGTTGGATCATAAATTCTTGTGTTTGTTCTGGATTCTGATTCTTGGTTAAATTGGAGAGTAGAGAGGTAGATTTAGTAAACATTCTGGGATCCTGAATGTTTGCAAAGAAAGAGGTGTTTAGGTGGCAAAGTGTCATTGTGCCAATTTCGATGGCAGGAATGGTCCGATGAAAGGGAAAAAAGTAAATGGTGGCAAGACTGTGATGGGCCTGGCACTCCAGGCTAAGGAATCATGGCTTGTTCTTTAGAACCTCTGAGATTCTGGAAGACTTTGATCCTGGGAAGTGACATAATAAGCAACATTTTAGGTTGGCTTTTCTGAAACAAATTCAGTCGTGGTCGCTGCCTTCCTCAGAATCCTTCACTAGCTCCCACTTGTCCTCAGCAGGACTTTCCAACCAGTGTGGCACATGTGAGTGACAGATGTGCTAAACTAGTGATCCCCTCAGCCCTGGGGGCACCTAAGTGGGGCCTGGGGCAGCAGGAACCCCTGGATCAGCCCTTCCAGCCACAAGCAGCTTCCTCCCTGCCCTCCAGTGGTTATAAGGATATCATTTTCTGTGTAGGAAATGATGTGACATGGCTGGAAAGCACCTCTTGCAAAGATACAAGACCCTTCCTGATCCATTCCTTGCTCACCTGTACGAGCTCTTGCCTTGGCATTTGCTCCAAAGCATTCTATTTCAACCATCGAGCCATCACATACTCTAGTTCCTGCATAGCCCAGTCCTGCCACACTGCTTCTGTCCACGTTGTTTCCCCAGACAGACCCACCTTATCTGCCTGACCAAGTCCTAGCCCAGGCCCACTGAGGCCTCCCTCCTCTGTGTTCTCTTAATAAGCAGAGCACATTCTCAGTGTTTGCCCTCGTAGCATTGAATCGTAATGATTTGCATGTCTCCCACAAGAGGGCCTGGCAAAGACTGAATGTTATACATTCAGTAAATATATGCTGAATTAATATTTTGAAAAACCCGTGAGATTGGGAAAAGTCAGAAAGAATAATAGTACAAGTCTATTTCAGTTAGTTCACGTATAGTAGGTGCTCAATAAATAACTGTTGAATGGATGAGTAAAAGAAGAGATATAAGAGGCATTTTAAACGTAGACTCCGTGAGACTCTGATGGCCTGAATGTAAGACAGAAGGAAGATGGAGTAGTTCAGGATGTTTCAAGACCAGCAGCACCATCAACACAGCAATCTTTGTACAACTTTGGAGGCTGTGTGTACCCCAGCTAAGCCCTCAGAAGTGTGCCCAATGAACTGGGATTAGGATGTTTACTGAAGCCTTGTTTATAAGAGCAGAAACATTGGAAACAGCCAACATGTCCTTCAGTAGGGGAATGCATAAATGAATTGCAGTGTATTTGTACAATGGATAAAGTGATTACAATGAATAAACTAGATAGTGAATCTTAACGTTCGATCTTAAAGATATAACATTGGGTGAAAAGGTAAGTTAGAATAGAAAATATGCACCATGAAACACTCTAAAAACACCATATATTGTTTATTCATATATGCATAGAGAATAAAATTATAAAAACACGCATAGAGGGCCGGCCCCGTGGCTTAGCAGTTAAGTGCGCGCGCTCTGCTGCTGGCGTCCCGGGTTTGGATCCTGGGCGCGCGCCGACGCACCGCTTCTCTGGCCATGCTGAGGCCGCATCCCACATACAGCAACTAGAAGGATGTGCAGCTATGACATACAACTATCTACTGGGGCTTTGGGGGGAAAAAAGTAAATAAATAAAAATTAAAAAAAAAAAACACGCATAGAAATAAAAACCTCCTCAGGACCCTGGTTACCCTTGGGGAGTGGGGAGGGGCTGGAATGAGATGTAGAGCTTTTGATTTATCTGTGACATTTTATTATTAACAGCAATTGTGGCAGTATATTAACATGTATTAAATTGGGTGCTGGGTGTTTGTTCTATTAGTTTCTGAACTTTTCCATTGGTTTGAAATAGTTCATGCTTTTAAAAATTAAGTTCAAATTACACAGAAGAAAAGACCAGGTAACAGGGACAATGATCTCTGTCATTTCTGCATTTAGTCTTCTGTTCTAGATGCCCCTCTCTTTTTGACTAGCCTGGTAAACAGGGTAGAATTACATCTGCTACTTAGATTGCCTCGCCAAGTCTCAGCACCATTTAAAAGCATCAGTTCTCAGCTCAGTGCCCAGAGACTAACAGATCTACCATTGACATCTCTAGAGGCTTCAAAATGTGCAGAAATATCTTTCATCGTTGTTTGTAGCTTCCACTCCCCCCCGCATTCTCTCTATATGTTGGAGCATCTGTCCCACCTAATTAGAATTAGTTTCTGCAATAAGGTTTAATGAAATTCTCTTTCACATGTTTGATTGGAACCTAATTTTTTTTAATCCATCTCTATATTTTCTTGGTGTGTAACTTTGGAAATTTTTCTTTCCTTTGTGCCCAAAATAAGCTATCAAATAACATGCTTGTAGTGAATTTCACTATTTCTAAAATAGCTTCCCTGGTTGGGGAACAGTTTCAGCGGTGTGCTGGAGCAAACTCCCACTGACTCCAGAAGGCCAGTTGTGCACATTTCTTCCCACTGGTGTTCAGTGATGTCACTTTGGTAACTTGAAATCAGCAATGATGGGAATATTTACACCATGGGGGTCAGCAAATGCTACAAATCAAGTTTTGGGGGTTTTTTTCTTCCCTGGAGAGCCGGAGGTTAAACATTTACCAGCCTACCGCTAGGGGGCGGGACAGTTGTCTGGGTTTGCAGGGCAAGGAGCGTTTTCTGCATTTTACACATGCAGAAACCGAAAGTCAAGAAAAGAAAAAGTCTTGGCCTGAGTCACAGGCTCCAAAGAGGCATTGCTGGGGCTCCGGTCCGTGTGGTGCAGATGAAGAAGCGCTGGCTTTGAAGTCAGGCAGATCTGAGTTTGAATCTGGTTTAGCCACTCTTGTACTGTGCATTGCTGAAGGGTCTGACTTCACCCCTCGGTTGCCCCACCTATAAAATAAGGATGACAATACCTAGCTTGTAGCGATCTTGTGACCATTAAGTGAAATATGTGCAAAAAACCTAACAAAACACAGAGGAGAGATGCAGGAGATGTAATTTGTCCTCTGGCTTAAAAGTTCGGATCTGTGTATTATTCCATTCTTCCCATAACCGTGTATATTTTTTTATTTCAACTCTCCCTGACCAAACACCTTTCCCTAAATGGTGAATATACTTTTTGCTCCAAATATGTGCCACTGGAATAAGTCAGAAGTCTCAGAGTTGACATTTATGTGTGATTTGGGGAATCAGTTTCTTTCCAGCAGTCTTAGAAATGTATCTACTAGGTATCAACTAAGCTCATTTTTCAACTGCCTGGAGTTTTCTCCACCGACCGTTGTGCTGAGCTAAGCATCCTGAGGAGACTGATTGGGGAGCCCAAGGGTGCTACAATTCCATCCACCAAATTAACTGCAGTGGCCTGCAGGGAAATTCTCTTGGCTCTTTCTGTTCTTTGCTCTGTGCTCTCCCTGCATGCCCTAACTGCCCTGGTAGGAGATATCTGCTTCTGAGTCATTCAGCTAAGCCAAAATGCACTTTTCTTTTTAAATTTTTATTAGTTAATTTATTTTTGCCTGAGTAATATATTTGGTTGTTTTAACATTTTTAAAAATACCAAAGGGTGTACAATGGCAGCTTCCCTCACTACACAATCCCCCATTCACCCAGGTCCCTCCCCATAAAAACTAACAACAACAAAAAAAGAAGGTGGAGAAGAGGAGGAGACAACCTCTTATTATTAGTTTCTTATGAATCTAAAGGCTTTTGGAGCTCATCTTAATGACCCAGCATCAGCGCTGTCTTCACCATGGTTTATATGTGTGTTGATTGTGGTGGGCTCAAGAAGACTATTGAAATCAGGGGCACTAAAATGAGGTCATATACTTGTCATTAAGTATAAAGCAAATTGGCAAGACTCACCCAGAGTAAAGTCATAGAGGAGCTGCTTTTTGTCTGTAAAGATAAATGGCCTACTTTGTGCAAATATCATCCGTCAGCTAAACCTAGGTAGGTTGTCATATCTCTGGGGAAAAACACAGGAGAGAATCTAATGCTTACAGGGAATGTGCAGTGCTAGGCTTTTTTTTAAAATCATTGTGGTAAAATCTACATAACAGAAATATACCATTTTAACCATCTTTAAGCGTATAGTTCAGTGGCATTAAGTACATTCACATTGTGGTGCAACCATTGTCAATATCCATCTCCAGAAAGTACTAGACTCTTTTGCCCATCTCATTTAGTGCTTGCAACAGCCTTTGAGGTCTGTGTTAATGTGCTCCATGCAATGAGGATGTTTCAGAGACATTGTTTAAAGTCTCCTACTGAGTAACTGGCACAGCCTGGAATTGAACCCAGGTGTGTTCATCTCCAAACCATGTGGACAGAGGTGCCTGGCTCTCTGTCTTACTGTTGTTTTTTCCTTCTCCATCCCATGCTGTTGCCCAGGGGTGATCCTGCTGCTTCTGGATAAGCTGCGGAAGATGAAATGGGAGCAGATGTGGAGGCTGACCGCGGAGAGGGAGCTGATGGGGATGCTCTCCACATCCTTAGCCGACCAGGTGAGCGGGCGGGTTAGAAGGTATGGTTATTCCTGAGTACGCTGGTGCTCTTTCTCAAACTTGAAAGTAGATGGGTGTGAATTATTTTCTCCCTGTTGTGTGACTGTACACTTGACAGATCTGCCTTACGCTTGCCAGTCTGAGATGACAGCTCAACTCATTCTCTTTGTTCCTTCAGCAGACTTGCACTGCACACTGTGTATGCCAGGGACTATGTTCAGAAATAGGATTCCGGAGATAAATGAAGGACGCAGTCCTTGGCCTCCGAGAGCTCATAGTTTATTGAAGCAGACTCATAAGTAAACGATAATTTGGCGTGTCAGGAGGTCGCCATCTTCATCTCAGTGTGGAATGCACAGTGCCCGCTCCCTGAGCTTCCAGAATGCCACAGCACATTTCCCAGACAAGATTTCATTTGCCCTTCTGGCAAATAGAGTCTAACTTTTCAAGCAAAGCCTTTTGCTTAGATCCTGTACCATGACCCTGGCCTCAAGGGAAATGCATTTAAATAGAAGGGACAAACCGTCTAGCTGGAGAAACCAGCTTTTAATCCATGCAATATGAAAAAGTCCATAGACGCCACCAAACTATTAACAAAAATTCATAAAAACCCCATTTCCCATTTTGACTGGGAAATGCAGGGGCCTGAGCCTTTGACCTTGGATCTACTGGGGTCACTCATTCAGATTTGGAGTTTCCTGTGGTGCACATGGCCATCTTGAAATGTAAAGATGATTTCTCTGGGTTCTCTGCTTTGTATCCTTTCCTTTTCATCAGAAAAGCAAGTTCATTCTCCATGTTTTTGCTCAATGTTCAGTTGTCTGATTCGTTGAATTCTTGCCAAGTTTTCTAACACAGAGGGAACAGGAAATTCCATAGGGTTACTTTACTATTTTTTTTTTAGCGTTGTTATGGTTCAGTATTTCCCAAGCAGCAGAAACTAATTTCCTTTTTCAAACATGAGCTATGGTATAATGAATGAGTTAAAAATTACCCAGGTAGCTGTTTTAAACCTGAGGGGAAAATTGTCCTCCATCGTCATATTTTAAGTCAGGTCACAATGACTCGAGCATGTCCCCAAAAGCTAGCAATTGCATGTCCATGTCCAATGAGGATAGTTTATTCAGCTATCTCCTGCTGCAAAGGCCCATAATTCACCTCCCGGCACCACCTGTCAGCAGCTAGTTAATAAGTATGGCCTGGTGCGAAAGCTTGGAAAAGAGCCCGAAAGAGGGAAAGCCTCCCTAGGAAAGTCAGAGTTGGATTTGGAAACAGGGAGTGCATACTGGGGCACCGTGGCCCGCAGGAACCCGAGGCGCATCCATCACCGAGTCCGCCAGAAGCCCCAGGAAGAGACGCTGAAGCAGGATCTGTAATTTGTCTCAGCCCCTGCATGAGCAGAGCCGCTTGTCATCACGCAGTTCCCTCTCCAGGAGGCTCAGGATGGATGACATGGGGCTCCTCGATGAGGTGGGAAGAGGGGCGGAAAAGCGAGTTCATTTATTATATACCGGCTCAGGTGGAAAAGATGCTCCCTGTCTGCGCCCACACATGCTTGCCGGATGGTGCATGATGAGAGCAGCAGGACCTGTGAGCTCCAAGTCAGCGTGAGGCATTCCCCCATCTCTGTCCAAACATTACTGCTCATTCCTAGAGATGAGAGGCGAGGGCAGTGCCCCGCGGTGCACGCCAGGTTGTGTTCAGAGCAGAAGGCTCAAGAGAAGCCCTTGCATAGACGATGTAGGCCCTCGAGAGCCAGAATCAGTAGAGGAACTCACCTGACTGTTTGGACTGTATCTCTGGCTTTTCTCCCCCAGGATATTTTCAACGCTGTCATCAAACAGAACCCTTTCCTCGTGTATCAGCTCCCCTGTTTCTGGAATGTTCAGCTGTCAGACCACACCCGCTCCGAGCAGTGCTACAGAGACGTGTCTGATCTGAAGGTAAAGTCAGGCCGCGGTGGGTGTCGGTCATGTCCCCAGAGGAAGAGTGAGGTGCCCTGCGGTGGCAGAGGAAAGCTGGATTGGGAGGACTCTTCCGGGGGATGAATGTCTCTGAGCTTTGTGTGCAGTGTGCTCAGCAAGATAAGAGCGCAGAAGAGCAGAAAGAATGTGTTTTGCTTCTTTGGTTTTTTTTTCCCTCTTGTTTAGGCTTTCTGGAAAGTGTAAGGCCTCCCAGCATAAGAACCAGCTTGTGTGGTTATCCTTCTTGCCACCTGCTGCCGGCTGTTTTGGTTCATGTCAGTTCCCCAAATCCAGTCATTTAATTCAAACAAAAACATTTATTGAGGGACTACACTGTGCCAGGTGCCAGAGATATGGATATGAATAACTTACTTCCTACTTTCAAGTCCTTCATGGCTTAGAGGAGTTGAGAAATGTGTACAGAGATAAATGCAAAAAAATATGACAGGTGCTGTTGTAGGTGTGGGTAGGTGGGATGCAGGTGTAAAGGTTTCATTCTCTCTCAGGGAGAAGGGACAATGACAGAAAAGCCTTCATCCTTGGTCTCTAGGTATCAAGACAGTGGTAGGTTGACGTAGACAGCTGAAGAAGATGGGGTGTATTAGTTATCTGCTGCCATAGATAATGCTACGTAACAAGTATTCTAATAGCGGCTTAAATCAACACCATTTATTTAATTGATGATTCTATAGGTTGGCTGGATGGTTGGCTGATTTTCACTGGCTTAACCAAGTGTCTGTGGTCAGCTTCAGATCAGATGGCTGGTGGCTGGGGCAACTTGGATCTCCTCCAGTGTCTCCCAGATCCCATCAGCAGGCCAATCTGACTTGTTCTTTTGGCAAAGCAGAGGTGGAAGAGGAGACCCTAGGGCACACAAGGAAACCTTGCGTCCTTGTTGCTAATATCCTGTTGGCCAAAGTAGCAAGATGACTGAGGCCAGAGTTAAGGAGTGTGCCAGAATTCCCTACCTACAGTAGGAGGAGTGAAGAACTGGCCTCAGCTTTTAAATGACAGGTCAAGGATTTGAACCCAGACATGTCTGATCCCAAGCGTGTTTGCCTCTCTGGCTGTATCAAGGACGACGTAGATTCCTGCATCCATAGGGTTTATTTCACTTAAAATTTATATCCATTGCCCATGTGGCAATGCAGTAACAATAATTACAGGTTTTAAACAGGAAAAAGAAACCCAAACCTTGCTTTCCTGGTAAGTCGATCTTTTCTAATTGGCTTCTGGTCTGTGTCCTTGTGTGCATATTCTATCTTATTTATAGTCATAATGCCCATGGAATTTTGTACCCTTCCATTACTTAGCCATTTCTGTTACCCTAGTTGTTTTCAAATTTTCACAAATATAAACTGTGTTGCAATTGAACAGCTTAAAGTTCACAGCTTCCCGGGAGTGACATCACAGAGTCAAAAAGAAAAAACTTTTTTTAATACATTTAAAGTTCATTGCAAAATACCAGAAACTATTTAAAACACAAGTACCCGCCTCATTCATTCTTTCAATCAGCGTTTATGCAATTCCTTCCATGTGTCATGTACTTGTTAGACATGAGGAAAGTAGATGGAATAGTTCCAAGAACATCATGAACTAGAAGTTCAAAGAAGAGGCAAATGAAATCAACCCGAAAAATGCTGGATAAGAAATTTTTTTAAAATTTTGGAATTGTAGTTGATCCGTAAAGTAAAGGAAATAAGCAGAGGCCAGAAACAATGATAAAGTGTGAATCTAGAAAGGTAAGCAAAAAGCATGTGGATCTGACATTTGCTTCTATGGGCATTTGCTGATCCTTAGTGGCCAGAAACCTGGTTTAAAGGTAGGTAACTATATAATTTATTATTCAAATGAGGGAATGCTGTCATGAATCGCACTGGGACCATAGGCCTAAATTAAAGTCACGCAAACCCTATGTATAACTATTCTAGTGAAAGGTTATGCGTGGGACTTAGTTCCCAACAGGAAGAAAGGCAGTTAGAAGATACTTTCATAAAGTCATGATTCGTGAAGAGTGATATTCTCAGTGGATAAACAGTTTAAAAATGCGTAGTGTCGAAGGAGACGGTAGAGATTGTTGCATGTTTCATCCTTGGCTTTAGGTGAAATAAGGGGGAAATGTTTCCCCTGAGAATTTCTAATTTCAAACTCTACTCATATTATTTTGGGGGCTGAAATGATATGTGTGGGGCAGAAATATAAAGAAAAAAGTTGAAATTTGCCAGGCATCTGGCAGAAAACAATAGAAATCTGAGTATTCTGGAAGAATACTCTCAAAACTAAGACTTCCGAATTCTTCAGGTGGAGTTTCAAGAAAAATGAGTTCTCAATCAGTAATCACTGAACGCACAAGAAAATAAGCCGTCATGAGAGGGCAGAAACTGCAGACTGGAGAATTAAAACTGCAGGTGTTAGACTCATCAGCCATAACACATAATACAAGCTTACCTCACTTTATTGTACTCTGCACATATTGCGTTATTTACAAGACTGTCCAGTAAAAAGATTATGACTCACTGAAGGCACAGATGATGGTTAGCGTTTTTTTAGCAATAAAGTATTTTTAATTAAGATATGCACTTTGTTTTACTGGACATAATGCTATTGCAAATTTGATAGACTACAGTATAGTGCAGACATAACTTTTATTTGCACTGGGAAACCAAAAAATTTGTGACTCACTGTATTGCGATATTTACTTTTTTTTTTTTTTTAAGTTTTTTTTTATTTTTTTCCCCCCCAAAGCCCCAGTAGATAGTTGTATGTCATAGCTGCACATCCTTCTAGTTGCTGTATGTGGGACGCGGCCTCAGCATGGCCGGAGAAGCGGTGCATCGGTGTGCGCCCGGGATCCAAACCCGGGCCGCCAGCAGCGGAGCGCACGCACTTAACCGCTAAGCCACGGGGCTGGCCCGTGATATTTACTTTATTGCAGATATTCCAGAACCTGGAATATCTCTGAGATATGCCTGTATAAGTAATTTTGCTGTGTAAGAAATAAAAAAGAATATTGAAAGAAGGATGGAGGAACATAAGATTCTCAAAGATGAATAGGCCTGTTTGGATCATATAGTACTTTTAGAAGTGAAGAGTATAATTCTGGAAATTACAGATTAAATGAATGTGTTAAGCGGTAGATTAGATCCGGCTGAAGAGAGAATTAGTAAACTGAAAGAGATATCTGAAGAAATTACCTAAAACACAGCACAAAGAGAAAAAGAGATAGAAAAACTTGAGAGAATTTAAGAAATTGAGATATGTCTAATTAGACTATCAGAAGGAGATCATAGAGAACATTAGGAATGAAGCATTATTGGTTGAGATAGTGAATAGGAGTTTTCCAGAACTGTTAAATGGTCTTCAGAGATACAAGAAGGATAGTGTTTACCAAGCAGGTTAAATAAAGACAAAACCATAGTGAGACCTACAATAGTGAAATTATAGCACCCTCAAGAAAAGTGGTTTTAAAATAGCCAGAGAAAAAAGACGGATTCTCTACAAAGAAATTTCATGTATATGATGAGAGTTCTTACAGCAGCAATGGAAGCCAGAAAAGGGTAGAAATAA